TTGTATACATCTGGAATTGTAAAATGATGGTTTTTAATTTTGTCATTTCTTTCATGTTTATGGATTGTAACTTCAGTCATTATAATCTTGACCTCTGATTAAAAACCAACTGACTCACTGTACCTGGCTTCTTCTTTGAGTCATTTCTCTTTTCTGGAATCAAAATGGTCTCCTGATAATCGTGTAGAAAAACTGCTCAGAATAAACCTTATGGTCAACTTAAAAAACAAAAAAGCTAATTTAAAATTTAAATCAGAGTTATTGTATCGGTGCGTAACTCATCTGTTCATAACTCATCTCTCCTGTTAGTTTACTTTTATATTGTAGTATTTAAGTGTTATTTCCATTGTATTAGGCCACTAGCTTTTACTTTTAAGTTCTAGATCTAAAGTGGAAAAAGTCGGGTAAGTTACATCAAGATTAAAGATTGTTTTTGTTTTTAGAATTCACAAATCATCCATATGACACAAGGCTGGAGTTTCTTTATTGAGAGAGAACTTAGGAAACTGCTAAGTTGTATTGTTAGAATGCTTTTTTCTTAAGTAGTAGTTAATATGATGTCTGGCTTTTATTATCACACCTAATTTATCAGTTTTTAAAACTATGGGCAGTTTTTCTATTACATTTTACACTACTGAGTATTTCTCCATGCCTCTCCCCACATCTCTGTCTTGACATTGTATTTTCCCAGTTCTCTTCATTGTAATTAGTAGAATGAACTATGCTTGTTGAATAAGGAGGACGTTAGCAAGGGAGACGCGTGTGTAACTTTCAGACAGTGGAATAAGGAATAACCATTAAACTGTCAGTTTGAACCAATATCTAGAAATAGAACTAAATTGATTGTGGAAATCATTGATTAATTATGACAAGAAAATAAATGATAATATAGCTAGTGGCTTGTAAAACATTCTCTTGAAAAAAATTGAAAACAGTCAGCTTTTATGAAAGATAAGAAGCATATTTCTAGGTTGCTTTTCCTTGAGGCCAGTTGGTATTCATTGACTGAATTCAAACCAAGTATTATATTGTTCTAACCAATCTTCAGATTGAGTAGTTTGGATATTTGAAGTGTAGTAAATTTATTATATCTGAAGGAAAAGCTAAAATGTACCAATGAAGCAAGTTGTATTTAGATGTTTTATGTATCTAAAGTGGAAAAAGTTGGCTTAGTAAATTAAATCAAGAATAAAGAAAGATTGTTTTTTGTTTTTAGAATTCACAATCATCCATATGACAAAAGACTAGAGAAAACTTAGGAAACTGCTAGGTTTTATAATTAGAATACTTTTTTCATAAGTAGTTAATATTATATCTGGCTTTTATTAATTATCACAACTAATTTATCGGGTATTAAGCTAGCAGGTAATACCCAAATGTGACAATAATGACTTTTCTCTTTTGTGTTTTAGACTATCCCCATAAATATGGCCCTCAGGGGGGCTGTGCAGATCATTCAGTATTTGAAAGGATGAGGAAATATCAGTTAACTGGTGTAGAAGAAGTGATAAAGGTAAGGATTTTAACACTGTCATACATGTAAGCAATGGAAATGAATTTGGGCATGCATTCCTTCATTGAAAACATATGTTCTAGTATTTCTGAGAGAATTGTAACACTGTAGGAAAATATATATATTTTTAATTCTTTAGAACTTTTGCTTATAATAGAGGGACTGAGAATTGAATTCAAATCTGCATTACCCAAAAATATTAATTACATACTCTAAATATACACTGCTTTTTGGACCTTATTATAAAAGTAAAAAAAAAAATCAGCATTTGTGTTTTATATAAATATTTATTTGTATTAGCATAAAACTAAAGGTTTCCTGCTTGCCTGGAACATTTTCAGTTTGAACCCTGATAGTCCTGTGTCCTTAGGCCATTCAGAATGGCTAAACATGCTAATAAAATCACTTTTTTGATACATTAACCATAATTTTTTTGTCATTTGACCCTTCTTTTACTCCATTTTTTTTTGCCTTCTCTTCCTTTCATCCTAGTTGATAGGTTTATACTATGCAAAATACAAGCACAGATAAGAATTTTTTCTGTCATGATAATCATTGAGCATATATGAGTATTTAGGACATTGTTTCTTAAAAAAGGCAGACACTCACCACCCATTGCCATTGAGTCAGTTCTGTCTTACAGTGTATCTGAGCTTATCAATCTTAAAGGAGAGCAGATAGCTTTTTCTTTCCCTCATGGAATGGCTGGTGGGTTTGAACCAACAACCGTGTAGTTAACAGCCCAACATATAACCAACCTACTGCACCATTTGAGTTAGATAAACCAAAACCAAATCAAATTCACTGCCATCGAGTTGATGCTGACTCATAGTGACCTTGTGGGTGTCTGATACTGTAACTGTTTACAGAAGTAGAAAGTCCAGTCTTTCTCTCAAGGAGCTGCTGGAGGTTTTAAACTGCTGACCATGGAGAACCGTAGCCCACAGCATAACCACCACACCACCAGTGCTTCTCTGGGCTAGACAACTAGGTACAAATTAAACTCTGAGTATATAGAAGGAATAAAGCAAGAACAGATATCAGTGAAATGGAAAACAGAGAAAATCAAAAGATACTAACTGATAAGTTCTAACTAGTCTAAGCCTCCCACTCCTCTGTTTGACTCTGGTGGCTTGCATGTGACTACAGTGCTGGCAGCCAAGACAGGTCTTTCAATTATCAGAAGGGTATCTAGCTTCCAGGCTAAGGGCAAGAGTACGGAGACGGAACAGGTGGTCTAATTCTGAGGGATTAGCCACTGAGACCTTTATGAAAAACATTCGCGTTACGGTTTTGGGGGAGGAATACTGAAGTACCATAGACTACCAGAACAAAACACAAATCTGCCTTGAAGAAGTAGAGCCAGAACGCTCCTTAGAAGTGAGGATGGCAAGGCTTGTTAGTCAGGAGGATGACCGACATAAGACTAGCAGTGCTTTGTTCTGTTGTATGAGTGGAGCCGACTCTGACACCTAACATCAGCCAGTCTGGTTAAGATGGAAAGAGCAGGTACACAAATTTGCAATATTGAGCACAAAAGAGGATACTAATAAAGTGGTTATATTTTGAACATCCCAAGCCAATGAATTCAACAATACATCTGCTCTTTTCTCAACTATCTCATTATCTGACATTTCACATTTATGACGGTCTCATAAATCTTCTGTCCAGTTCTTTTGTGCGTTAACTGTGTATGTCTGCCAGTAATGAATGCCAGAGTGATAGGTGAGAGTAATGTTGGTTCAGATTATGTGTCATCTAGGCTGGGCCATGATTTGCTGTGACTTGGCAGTTCTGTAAGGATATAATTTGGCAGTTATGATGCGGCCATGTTCCATTTTGTAATCTGATAGTCATCCATTTTCACATAATGCTGAGTTTTGAACAGCCACCTGGCTTTTTGAACCTCACTGTGTCAATAAATGAGGAGTACATCTGTAGATATCAAGGAAAACTCTAAGCCCAGATAGAGCTCCACTGTTTAATTACGTCAGATATTTAAGAAACAGGACTGATGTTACACCAAATTCTTAAGAAGATTTAATGCATTTTATGAGGCCCGCATTATTTTGATGACAAGAACTGAGGTAAGGGATCGAATTTTACCCTAGGTAAAATTCAGGGCCTTGGCCCGGAATCCTGAGACATAACCCTGGAAGGAATTGGGCCGGTAGGGGTGCGGGTGAGAGTTGGTCTGCGACTTCCAGGCCATTCCTGAGGATTTGTGCTGGTGATTGGAGACTGGCCAGACCACTGAAGATCCATGCAGAAGGCTGATATCAAAGCCTGGGAAGCCTAATTTAGCCCCATGATTGGCCAGTAAAAGCCAGGAGCACTGAGACTAGAGAACTTCCTGGGGAGAGTGAAGGGAATCACATGCCCTCTCTGAGACACGGAGGTTGCCTGCACATTTCTTCCTTTTGATTATTCCTACATAGTGCACATGGTAAAACTTATATTTTGGAAATGTTTAAAAGGAATTTGCGTTGCTTCTAAAATTATTGCTTGAATAAATAGTAAATTCTCTATATAATAGAATTTATATTCTATATAATAGAAGTCTCTACATAATAGAATATTATAATAATTAAGGAGGTGTTCATGCAGAATTTGTAGTGATATGGAGAAATGCCTGTTAAAGTGTTATGGAGTAAAGCAAAATAGGAAATTCTTAGAAGAAAGATTCATAACTACACAAAATGATAATACTGAAATCTCTTCTTCACTTACAGAAGCCTCAAGAAGAATATGCTGCTAATGGTCCAGAACTCCTGAGGAAAAAACGTACAACTTCAGCTGAAAGAAACACTTGTCAGCTTTTCATTCAGACTGATCATCTGTTCTTTAAGTATTACGGGACACGGGAAGCTGTGATTGCCCAGGTATTTATAGTTTTGCTACTACTTTAGGAGTTCTCATGCCCTCATACTGTTTCTCTCTATGGTTTCCCCTGGAAATTAAAGTTAATGCATCTCTCTTGTGGGAGTTAGACCGTTTGCCTTCTTATATCCGCTCCAACAAAGTAGTAAGGAGCCTTGGTGGCACACGGGTTAAGCAGAGCTGTTACACGAAAGGGCAGTGGTTTGAACCCATCAGCCTCTCCATGAGGCAAAAGACTGGAGGTATGCTCTCATGCAGATGACAGCCTACCGAGCCCTGTGGAGCGGTTCTCGTCCGTCTGGGAGGGCTGTCATGAGTTGGCATTGACTTGATAGCAGTACTAGACTTGTTAGGGATCTTCCCTGTCATGTTTACCAGTATTCCCAGATGATTGAGAAAACGGTTTGCCATGATTGAAGCAAGGCTGCTTGGCTGTGTTTGTTCAGAGAAAAGGTTGAAAAGGCACCAAATCTCTCACTCATTTCATCTTTCTGTTTTTTTATCCTTTATCCAGTATATGTAGGAGTTCTGGTAGCATAGTGGGTTACATGTTCAGATCCACTCGCTGCTCTAAGGGAGAAAGATGAGGCTTTCTCCTGTAAAGATTTATAGTCTCAGAAACCCCTAGGGGCAGGTTTATCCTGTCCTACAGGGTGAACTTGATGGCAGGGAGTTTGCTTTGGTATCCAACGTATAATGTGTACACATGGTAAAATTTGAATACACTAAAACAAGAATAATTTTTGATTTGGTAGATGAAAATTTACATTGCTTCTAAAATGTTCTTTGCTCTTTACATCAATAGATATCCAGTCACGTTAAAGCGATTGATACAATTTACCAGACTACAGACTTCTCTGGGATCCGTAACATCAAGTTCATGGTGAAACGAATAAGAGTAAGCAACTTTGACAGTTCAAAGTATTAAAAAGGAAAAACAAGGAAGACCATGTTTACAGAAAGAAAAATACTTGATACTTGCTTTTTATTTTATCTTTATGCATTAGTTTAAATCGTGTTTTTTCAATATGTATTGCTATTATGAATTTGAATTTTTAAGTGATATGTACCACCTAAATTAAAAAAATAATTATCCTTTTACAAGAATATTTGTCACAAGGTTTTATAAAATATCTTAGACTTTTCTATGTTTTTAGAAATATGGCTGCCCACATTCTTAAAATTTGTGTGTGTGAACATTTTAGTACATACATACTTGTATATTATATTTAATAACACTGCAGGTGGTGTTACTTTTAGAAGTAGTATGATAGAATCTTAAATTGAAATGGGTTTGTCGATGTAAAATATAAGAATATTGCTTCAATATAATAAGTGGTGTAAGTATTGCTATTTAGTAGGCAGAGCAGTAAAATACCATGTTGTAAAAAGTATAGTTGAAACTAATATGGCTATTGGTGGTTTCAGGTTTTTAACTGAGATGAAAATAGCTTTACTTGGTAAAGATAATTAGTATTTAAATATTTAATACCAAAATTTAGATGCAACTTTTAATTTGTAGTCATTGCTAGAGAAAGATCAAGCATTCCATATTTTATATATATATATATGAGCCATTATATATATATAGTGGGAGCCATCTGCACCATGTGTCTAAATATGAGCTATCTGACATACATTGCATATGGTTAATGTGAACAGATAAACCAGATGTTCTGAGATAAGCCTAAGGGCAATTGCTCTGACCTTCAGTGTTTTCACCATCTTGCTTCTGATCCCTTTGGTTGTACTGGAGGCTGAGAACCTTAAAAGGATCCGTAGTTCTCGTGTCATTTCACTGTGTCATCCAGTTGCTGCCAACATTTTAAATAGATAGGGGTTTGCCTTCTATTAGAAACAGTTACTTTGATGCGTATCTGTTATTCTCTATCAGCAGTCTTGTATGCAATTCCCTGACCCACCTGGGAAAAGCAGCTCGGACATCAAAGGGTCCCTAAAGGGAGGCAATGGCTCATAAATGGAACCTCTATGTAGTAGAAGTTGGTATTGGAAGAGATTACTCTACAGACTGTGATAAGGAGTCTGTACCAAGAGCCTAGTAAAAGAACCATTAAGACACTCAGCTTGCAATAGGAAGGAAAGGAATTGCCAGTAGGAAGAAACCAGCTTCTGCCCAAATTCAGGGGGACAGCTGGACTTGGCAAGTGCGTTGGACTTGACTTGACACATGCAACTGGACAAAATCAGGAAATCAAGAAAATGACTTACCTACAGAACTAATAGACTTGGGCTCAGAATCTGTTTTATGTTCTTGTAATTAGCCAAAATGTATGATTTTTTTTTATCTTGTGAACGTATACTGCAAGTTAACATTAAGGAGACTTGCTTGAGTGATTAAATTTCAGAAACCATATTAGGGATTTTAAAAGAAGACTTGTTCTTTCTTCCCAAGTGTTCAGTATTTAGGAATATGATTAATACTTTCCCAGAAATGTACTATCTTTAATTGGAATCTTTCTAATCTGTGCCCTCCCCTCCCTTTTTCTGGGGTGTGTGTGTGTGGGGGGTTTTATGTTATCAGCTCCAGGGTGAGAGTAGTGGGAACAAGTCCAGAAGCCATACTTGAGGCCTGATTTCCGCTAGGCCAAGAGCATATTGTTCATGAAATGCAGGAGTTAAGCAGACTTACTCTAAAGCTCCACTGACATTAACTGCCCTCATTATTATTTTCGGATTTTAGATCAACACAACTGCAGACGAGAAGGACTCTACAAATCCTTTCCGATTCCCCAACATCGGTGTGGAGAAGTTTCTGGAATTGAATTCGGAGCAGAATCATGATGATTACTGTTTGGCCTATGTCTTCACTGACCGGGATTTTGATGATGGTGTTCTTGGTCTGGCTTGGGTTGGAGCACCTTCAGGTAGTTTTTCTATCGATGTCTCAACCTAAGGTTTGGAACCAAGAGCCGTTTTCAGGGCAGACTGAATTTCACAAAGTATGAGAGAAAGTGACGACGAGTTCATAATGTAAATGGCAGTACAGAGGAGCAGTTGGTCACTTGGAAATCAGTGAAGACAGCCCTGCCCTTTCTGCTTCTGGAAGGGTTGCAGCCCTGGACACGCTATGAGGCAGTTCTGCTCTGTGCATGTGGGGTCGTGCTGTCGACTGACTCAGCTCAACGACAGCTCGCCACAGCCGTTAGCAGGGAAAGATCCTAACCGTGCAGTCAGTGTAGGTGAGATCAATTCTGTCGGGGGAAGCAAATGGCATTGATTTCTGAAACCAAAAGCAACACTTAATTTTTTTTAAAGTTAGTAAATATTTGTTCCAAATGGGGAAGTCTTAGAGGCAGAAGGGGAAAGCTGTGATTCTATTCTCTGGTCTCTTGTGAGAAGAAGAGTAGAGAAATCCTGGTCAGGAGCAGGAGGTAAAACTGAAAGCAGGTCGGTCCATTTCTAGCCATGCTTTTCACCAAATGAAAGGGAGGGTAGGTAGCCTGAGAAAGGAGCCCTGGTGGCAGAGTGGTCCCCCACGGGGCTGCTAGCTGCAGGGTCCCCAGTTGGAAACCATTAGCTGCTCCTCCAGAAAAGGACCAGGCTTCCTGCGCCCATAAAGAGTTAGCTCAGAAACAGAGGCAGAGCTACCCTGCCCCATATGCGTCAACAATGGCAGTGAGTTTGGTTTTTATATTTTCTTTTGTAGCCTGAAAAGAGATGTAGGCAGGGAACTTTATGCCTGCACTCAGCTGAGCGCTCTCCATTAGCTGGGCAAGCCACTGTAATCAAAACATAGGGATAGGATAAACCCCTTCTAATTACAGTGGTTTGGGGAAGGGTTTACAGTAGAAGAAATCTAGTCAATCAGAGAAATACAATATATTAATACAAAAAAAGTTGCTGTCAAGTTCCGATTCAAGATGACCCATGTGTTGCACATTAGAATGATGCTCCTTGAATTTGTGCCCCATAGGGAGTTTAAGGTTGAGGCATTTCCGAAGTGGATGGCCAGGCCTTACTTGTACCACCAACTTTGGGCTAGCAGTTAGTGCTTAACTGTCGGTGCTCCCAAGGACTCTTACTCTTTGAAAGAGGAATGGAGAGGATCTCAGACTCGGAGTATAGTCTTGTCATAGAGGCTATGGGTAGTCTGTCATTTTCTGAGATGGACAGGATTGTTTGCTTTCAAAAAAATGATCAGTTTGACAAGCTTTGAAAATCTGCGCTGTTTTTGTGTTACTTATAATGTTATCCTATTGTACAGACTACATTTCTCGATGATATTTCACACTTTATAACTTATACTCAGAAATCTACCTTTTCCTACTTGATAGTTTATGATTCCTTCTCCCTATTTATTCAATAAGTATTCAAACTCAGGACTTTATTGGATTCTTTTTTGTCTATAACCCACTAAACAGTGGTTTGCAAAGGGTGGTCCGCAGACTAGAGGCGTCAGCATCACAGCAGCACTTACTAAAAATGTCTACTGAATGAAATCTCTAGATGTGGGGCCCGGCAGGTCTCATGTGAACAGACCATTCCATACTAAAATTAGAGAATCGTCGCATAAAATACTTTTGTCTGTGAAGAAGCTTGCTTATAAAATGTCTCCTGAGCAAGTGACTGGATGATCCCAAACTAAAAACTCCCTGTTGTTTTACATATTCAACCATTGAGTATTATTTATTAAAAGTATAATGTTACATTACTGTGGCACATTTGTCACAGTTAATAAGCCAGTACTGAGACTGATAAACAGTGTCATGAGCTAGAGTCAACACTGTGTTTAGATGGTTTGCGTTTTACCCAGGACTCTCCTTCTATTACAGAATCCCTTCCAGGGTACCATATTCTATTTGGTAGTCCTGTCTCTTTACCCTTTCTTCTTTGTGACATTTCTGAGACTTTCCTTGTTTTTGATGACTGGGATGCTTTTGAGGGATCCTAGTATATTGTAAGGAGTCCTGGTGGTGTAATGGTTATGGGTTGGGCTGTGATCCTCATGGTTTACAGTTTGAAACCACCAGCAGCTCCTCGGGAGAAAGACTGGGCTTTCTACTCTCATAAAGAGTTACAGTCTCAAAAATCCAGAGGGTTGTTATGAGTCAGCCATTGACTCCTAACAGTGAGTTTGCTTCGCCCCTCTTTTGGAATTTGTTAGATTTTTTTTTTGTGTGCCCTCTCAAGATTAGATGGGGGTTGCTGGTTTTGAGGATACTTTTTTCCTTTTAATAAATCGTTTTATTGGAGGCTCTTACAGCTCTTGTAACAATCCACACATCAATTGTATCAAGCACATTTATACATATGTTGCCATCATCCTTTTCAAGACATTTTCTTTCTACTTGAGCCCTTAGTATCAGCTCCTCTTTTTCCCCTCTCCCTCGCCCTCATGAACCCTGATAAATTATAAATTGTTATTATTTTCCTATCTTAGACTGTTGCTGTCTCCCTTCCCCATGTTTCAGTTTTCATCCCCCTCAGGGTGTGTGTGTGTGGGGGTTATACATCGATCATTGCAATCGGTTCCCTCTTTCTCCCATTTCGTCCCCCCTACCTTCCCCCTACCCTCATGGTATCGAAACTCCCATTCCTGCTTCTGAGGGGTTTATCTGTCCTGGATTCTGTGGGCTGAGAGCTCTTATCTGTACCAGTGCACATGCTCTGGTCTAGTCGGATTTGTAAGGTAGAATGAGGATCATGAT